AAGCTTGTCGGTAAAAGACTCAAAGATACCCTGTAGTTACGTAAGTGGTATTAAAAAAAGGTTCTTCAGTGTTCATGGGCATGTTATTACAAAGTATATGCGGGTCGACTACTTTGACTACTCGACGACTCTCACAGTCAGACTTCAGGTTTGACGTTATAGCAATTACCTGTGAGAAAAGGCAGCTCGGAGTTGAACATCTTGGTGACAATCAAATGCTGAACGGAGTAGCGCTCGACGAGCTCCTGGGCGGGCGTGTAGAAGAGCATGTCGAAGCAAATGAAATGGCCGAAGGTCACATTGAAGTCCGTCTCGAAGATGGCGTACTCCGGCTCGCTGGTGCGATTCAGCTGCGGCTCCAGATAGAGGTTCCACTTGCGGTAGCGCGAGACCACCGCACCGCTGCGGTCCAGCACCACGTTCGTGTTGTAGAGCCGGTAGCCGCGGGCGGGGCAGTCGGCCTCGCGGTCGCAGCGCTCGCGCTCCTTCACATTCAGCACCAGGTAGCTCTGGGCGGCGACAGCTGCGCAGGCCAGCTGCCTGAGGAACGGGGCCACGCCATCGACAGGTGCCACCACAATGGGGCAGAGAGTGCGACGCGAGGGCGCCGGCACCGCCGTCAATTGCAGCTGGCTGTTCAGCGTGCCCTCCGGAAAGATCAGAATGTCCGCAGTCCCATTGGCTGCCTCAATCAGCTCCAGATACGCAGCCAGATTCTCCTCGAGCAGCTGCTCGGAGCTGCCACCACTGTACGCCGGACGAAACTCCACCACGCCCGCCGTATAGTAGCCGCTGGCGGCTGCACCACAGCCAACCGCAGCAGCGCACAGCAATTGGAGGAGCAACAAGCACTTGCCACGCATGATGCGCTCGACAGACTGAGCTCGATACGCCTCATTCAGATTCACTTTCCCCACTCTCTCTATCTCTCTCTCTCTCTCTGCCTCTCTCTCTTCTGTTTCTATCTAATCGTTCGTATCGCACTCAGCGGTTTATGGTCGCCGTCTGTGGTTATCGTTTATGGCACATGTGAATTATGGAGTCATTCGGACAAAGCTCCAGGTGAGCATCTATGGAACGTGGAATCAATATCAGTTACAATGCTGAACTGGCTCTTAATATTCCATGAGCTCAGCTGGTACCCTAAGATGAACTAGTTCTACAAGTTTCCATCAATTTACTTCGTTATACATTTATCTAAGCTGAACGAGTTCCACAAATACTAGTTAAGTAATCTGTAAGAGTTGCTTGCATTTATGGCCCATAAGTTAACTAGTCTTAAATGAACCTTCAGCTGAACTAGTCTTGGGCATGCCATGAGCTAAACTAGTTCCGTAAGCTGAGCGAGGCTTATATACATATGTATAACAAAAGTTTGACTAGCTATACATACAAAATGAGCTGAACTAGTTCTATGCATGATCAGTTAGCCATGCCATTGTTAAGGCCAGATCCCATTAACAAGAATTGCTCCTCCCGCAACAGACGTTATGTTATTAACAGCACTCTGTTAATAACATAACCCAGTTCTCCTACTGGT